TCGCATACGAATTGATACTCTGTCTTCCCATATCACCAGCCTTCAGAGAGAGGTAACAAGCTGTTTGTGACTCTTCAGTCTTGCCAATTACAGTTGTTGATTTTTATATGAAAGGACTTTCTTTCCCTTAACTTGTAAGTGTGTTCAGCATCATGACTTGAATTTGTCTTCTGTTGTGCTGTTCTGTACTTTTTCAAATTTCTTAATGTCTCCTTTTGACAAAGTTGAGGGTTTTGTGCAGTATCCTGCTAGAGAGTGAGTATTTGAAAGGGGCTACTGTTAACTGGCTTTTGCGGAACCTTTTGCGGATAGATGGGACAATTTTAGACAAGAGCTCTGTATTAAAAGCTCTCGCCATTCTAAGCAATTTAGTTCTGTTCTGTAGCAATTGGGCAGCCTAGCATGGGATTCCACAAAGCAACATTCAAAGCCAGAGCTGGAATATGCGGTGTCTCTCTGTTTGGTGTCTCTTCTCATCCTCGATCCAGTTTGCATCTCGAACTCTTAAAAAATACAAAATAAAAAAACCAAAAAACAAACCAAAAAAAGAGTGATTTTACCAGGCTGAGGATGAAATATAGGAGACTGGGCAAATACATCAAATTACTGTACTTGAGCATTTGTAGAGCAGGGTCTTGAGCAGAAACTAATTATACTTAGTCAGATCACAGAGCACATAGGTCACAGCCAAAGAAGTATGACATGACCTCTGACAAGCCGTATGTTCAGTACTAGCTTATTTGATGGGAGTAACGTCACGTGCACTGCAGTGGAGAATCCAGAGTGACAATGAGAAATGTTAGGAGTTGGTTCTGAAGTGGGCTTTTGAAACTTACCAATCAGTTGAAAACGCAACAAAACATTTGTTTTTTTGAAAAACATAAAATATTAGTAACATTTGGCTTTGATCCTTTCTGCAACACAGTTTGAATTGTATTCCTCCTGTACAGTAGGCTCTTGTAGGACTTCAAAATTCTGTGTATTTTAAGTGAAGCATATAAATGCAGGGGACGTTATTTCATAATTTTCCAAATAACTTGGCAGATACTAGTATGAATCTTCTCAGTTTTCCTGTTATATAGGCAAGTTAGTCTCTGGAAAAGATCAAGCGATGTCATGAATGTGCATGAGGTTACACAGGAATGGGATTGAGAGTTTTGTCTGCTTAAATCTTATTTCTGCCTTTAGAGTACCGTCATCTTTCTTTTGGTGGTTCAGTTAACGGGTGTTTCTGAGGGTCTTTTTCCTTCTTACTTTAGTTAATTACCTGGGTTCTGTCGCTTACTTGGGAGTGACAGCTAGGTTCAGAGAACTTGCTTCTGAATTTGCAGAGGTGCTGGTAGTTAACTCCAGGGCTATCAAAATCAACTTCTGCCAGTTTGACTGCAACTGTCCCCCAGAAAAACAGTTTTTGCTGCTGTGGGTTTGTTTTTTTTTTTTGGTAGTGCTAGTGATGTCAGCCAGTAGCTAGCACTACCTTTAGCTTTGTTCTCTTGGAAGAAGACAACTCTCTTGTCACTGATGCTGGTCTGGTTTGAGTTACCAACACTGAGCTACCTGCAGTGGTTTCCACTGGGATCTTCCATGGGACACTCAACTCCTTTTATTAAATTCCCTATCTGATTCTTAACATGGACAAGCGGTTACACTGGTCCTCTGCATCAGCCCTTTAGACGGTCTGCTTTCATTGTCTCTGGACTATGATGACTTCCTAAGTAGAGTGCCTGCGCAGCAAACTTGGTGACTTAACCAGACAAGGTGATCGTGGGGCAGTGGTTCCGGTGTCTGTCCATTAATTAAAAAAAATCTCAAGAACCTGTCCAACAGAAGAAAGCACGCTCAGGGGAAGTAAACCTTAAAGCTGGCCTCATTCGGCCTTTCTTTGATAAGCGTTCCATTCTGTTTGTAAAATACTAAGTTCCACTGGCTTGATGTGACTTCTAAAGTATGTGACAAAGTAGGTTTCTTATTGGGACACTTAGCACTGTACTTCCAGGAACCCTTGAGGGCTGCTGCTGACAGGCAGACAGGCTTTCATTGAGAACAACCCCTATTCCTTTAGTGGAACTTCCTCCCAGAATTCAGAGTTGGCCGCAGGATCCGAAGTACGCTGAGCTGCACTTTAATTCTGTGTCGTGTCCTGTCCAGCACGTCTTAAACAGTTTGACTGTTAGGCTCCATTTTTCTTGACCGAGTAAATCCAGGTGTTGGAACATATCTTCAGATCTCAGAAGAATGGAGTAGGTAGTTGTCTTTCAAAGTGTGTTGTATGTTTCATTGGAACTTAAGGTGTTATGTTTGTAGTAGATGAGGTGGTGAACAGGAAGTTGAATATGGTCGAGTTTGAATTCAGAAAGTGGGGAGGATGCTTAACCTAAAGTTTTGAATTCCGTGTCACCTGAATAGCAGAGTGCATGGAGGTTTGGGTGAGCTTTCCTTTGCACCACTGGTGTTTTCAATGCTTTCTAGTCTAGAGCATGGCAAGATAGAGTGCAAGAGCTTGAGGACAACTTGGCCAAGGAACGGGAAAACTGTCGCAAAATACTGTCCGAGAAAGAGAAGGAAATGGCCGAGATAAGAAACCAGATGCAGGAGCAGCTGAGTGACTACGAACAACTTCTGGATGTTAAACTGGCACTTGATATGGAAATCAGCGCATACCGTAAATTGCTGGAGGGTGAAGAGGAGAGGTATGAAAGAATGTAGCAAGAAATGCTGGTGTCTGTGTGCTTCCTTCACTTGTCTCATTCTCTATTAAAAGGCAGTTCTTACTGGGAATGCATTCATTAGGTGCTTTACTACAGTTTCCAAGGCACTGTTTGTTTTTTGCCCCCTCCTGTCTGACACACTTACCTCTAAGTCTCCATGGGACCAAGCTGCTTGAGTATCAGACCAATAGCTCTCAAGGAAACAAATACCATTCTTCTATTAAGAGTCAGCACTGAGGACATCATGAATTGTCATTTGTAGGTCTATTTGGTGCCATGGTTAATACACTTTTCAGAGTTAATTACAGGGTTATTTAATTGTTAGCCAAATTTCTTTGAGTATAGAATAATTTTAATAAAGGAGCAGTTGTTATGATTGCCCAGCTTATTGGCTAGCTGCATTTTCTACATCTGATGCCAGAGTTCAGCAGTACTGAGCATTTTTGCCTGATAAGTCACAGCTGTCATTTGAAGTAGTTTGATACTTCACTGGTCCTGGCTGTCTCCTCTCAAGTGTGGGGATGAAACAGCAACAGCTCTTGTGCCATTGAGTTTTTGCATAAATTTCCTCCAATGGCTTAAGTCCCCCTAAGAGTTTTTTCTTTTCTTTCTTTCTTTCTGCCCAGGAATGCAGTCTTTAGCAAATGCATAGAGATGCCTTTGTGATATTGATGTAGTTGTCCATCAGTATTCTATGCTCCAAAAGCATTAATCAGCTGTTGGACAACACTTTATTCGATTCTTCAAAAAGTACCTAAGGCTTCACTTTTTCATGTAACATGCTTTGTTTACTGTATGTACCTTTTGCTGTATAATTCTATGGGAAGAAAAGGAGCGAGGAAGAAAGTTTATAAAAAAAGGTGGAAAAAGGAAAACCAAAGTGTGATGTATGCATGTTTCTTCCTTTCTTCAATGTAGGTTGAAACTTTCTCCAAGCCCATCTTCCCGAGTGACGGTTTCACGGGCTTCATCAAGCCGTAGTGTGCGTACAACCAGAGGGAAGAGGAAGAGGATTGATGTGGAAGAATCTGAAGCCAGCAGTAGCGTTAGCATTTCCCACTCAGCTTCTGCCACCGGAAATGTCTCTATTGAGGAGATAGATGTTGATGGAAAATTCATCCGCTTGAAGAACACCTCTGAACAGGTTTGAAAATGCACATGTATCACGACTTTACAATGGGCTGATTAGAGGTGGAAGGCATCCTCAGCACCCTTTCAGCCCTCAGGCTTCATGTTGACCCTGAAGCTAAAGCATGCTGCATAAGAGATGGCACTAAAACTAGTGTGTGACAAAATAAGTTTTCATATGGTATTCTGGATTGATGATGACTTCTTCCTAATGATTTGTAATGCTTTTCATAGCAATTGCTTTATTGCTAGGTTGCCCACCCACCAAGTGTTGTACCAGTCTTCAGAGTTCTGCCTTCTCATCTGTGTGTAAAACTTTGCAGATAACATTGTCACTTGTTATAGTGCAAGCAGACATTAGGCTCCTTTAGAAGCCTTTCAAGAACTTCCTCTGCCTTAAAAAGCCCCCAAAGAAATACATACTGATGTCTAAATGTAGTTAATTGCCTGTGTCCCTTGTACTGTCCTTCTTTCTTGGCTGCATCCACAGTTTTTAGGAGCCCTCAGTTCCCATGCCAAAGCCACCTTTATGATGGCTACTCAGATTATTTCATTCTATGAATAGGTTGGAGTTTGTACTGGGGGGGAACACATATACCTCTTTATCAAGGGGTACTTCATTTGAGTAATAATGAGAACTTTTCCTTATGTTGCCGTCAGAATGATGCTAACTGTTATATTCAGTGCATTTCCCCCATGCCCTGCTCTCCCTGCGCCCCCCACAACATCACTTGTAATTTCTGCTTAAGAGAAAAAAGTCCTATGCTATATACAGTTCTGCGAGTCATCGCAGGAGGGGTTGGAGACTGGGGACTATAATTTCTTAAATCCTTTGTCTGGGAGAAGAGAGAATTGAGCGTTTTCTCATTAGGACACCAGAACTACAAGACCTAATTTCTTGCAACCTTGATTTCAGAGAAGTAATTCTTGCCTTCTCCTGTGCTGTCTGTGCCTCAGCTGTGTGTAGAAGTGTTAGCTGCATTCTTTGTTTTCAGTGACACATAGGCTTTGTCTAATGTCATCAGATCCTTTACCTTCGCTAAAAGGCAGCTCATCTTGATGTTTTAGATTACAAAGATGGGTCTAGTTCCAAGTGTTTCAGTCCCCTCTAATCAACGAAGAGACGCACAGACTCCTCCAGATGCTGATACATGTGTATCTTAACTACCTGCCTGGGGTATTGGCTGAGAGTGCTGACTTCGTTTACTGAATGGAAGAAACCTTGACAACTGTTTTGGTTTAGACAGCTAAGCGTTTAGATGACTAAATTCAGACAAATCAAAGACTACTTCCAGTGAGTCAGGACCTGCTGCTTTTTACCTTTTTGAATTTTTCAAGTTTATGGGATTTGCCACGCTCCCCCCCTCCCAACCCCCCACTTTGTGTACCACATGGGTTTTTTATTTAATTTAACTACACATTCATTGTTCCATGGAAGGACTATCAGTTCTGTTACCAGTAGCCATGGATGGTTCATGGTTATAGCACTTTGCCAGGGGTCTAGATTTGAGCAACTAACTGTAGTGCAGTGTAATAAGCTGTACTTGGGGAATTTTCACAAGTGTTT